AGCAGAGCTGCCAGCTTTAAGGAAGGAGGTAGTGGATTATATGTGAGAAGAAACTTCTTGATGAGATGCGTGAGAATTGCTTTAGTAGTTTAAGCCCTGTCAATGAAAATGTTCCAAGAAAAGACTGCGATAATCGGTAACGGGGTTGGAATAATACTCTTGCTTGCCTACAGTTCAGCCCTCATTCTAATGATTGTCTGATATGTCCCACAATCCTGCAATTAATCCGTCACTGTCACAAGTACCAGGAATATAATATACTCCTAAAATAAGCAAATTAAACATCTAAGACAAACTGATCTTCTTACAGTAGGTAATTTCAGGATGATAATTCATGCATACAGCATATTTTACTACTGGTGATCAGTATTACTACTACACATCATCCAAACATATTAACAAATACAGTAAAATAAACCAGCTTTTTTCCTGTCTCTGTAATACTTGGGGTTCATCTCTGAATTTCCACCCATTTCAGTATTAATATGGAATGATACACATAAACTTAGCCAAGTTTTCACATTCCTGCCTCACAAGATAGAAAACTATTAAATTATTGTGTTTCATACATTGAAACCTCCACCAGTGTCACCAGAAGAAGTGGGAATGGAAATGGCCATTTTTTGTGCATGGTATTGATGAGAATTGTACATTGGTGCCCTCTACACATACTCTGCAGAACTGCATTAGTTTGGACTGGTTTGAAATAAACTTGAAAACAGTTATGTGATAGATTTAAATAATTAAGCAGTATTTCAGGAGCTAGATGAAAGGAATGAACCATTGCAATAACAGAGTTATATTTTATTAGATTTTAAAATAGCATAAAATGCTATTTTCCCTGAATAGAAGTGCTATTGATTCAGTATTGCCACCAATGATTTACAACTTTTTCTGCAAAACTCCCTGTTTTCTCTAAAAAGAAGGGTCCTCTTTTCTAATAATATCTTATTCCTGTTAATTATAGTTACTTTATTTAGAAAATTATGAGTTCAGGAAACTATTTAAAAAAATAAGTAGATAAACCATATTTTTTTAAGCCATGGGCATATACAGGGAGCAGAAGCACAGTGCAGAGGTCCTGTTTTGACTAGGAAACCTTTCAGAAGGGAAACTATTTACCATCTGGTTGTAAGACACCAGTGAAGTAAATAGGATGAGGGTGAGAGTGTAAGTGTTGGGGAGGTATTAGATAGTAGAAATAAAAAGTGACTTACAGTTGAACCAATGCACGTGAACTGGGCTTCAGACTGCCTTGAAGTCAGCAGTAGCTGTGAGTTACTGGTGAGAATGCAGGTGATGAGGACCTAGCAATAACAAGCACCATGTGTCAGATAATTAAACAACAAAAAAAGCTTGTTTATAACAAGACCCAAAAGCTGATGGGAATCAAATGATCAGTCAAGCCATGTTATAAAAAACACTCCAGCTATCCATTTTAGCAGTAAGTCCCCTCTACTCTCCATATGTTTCATACTATATAACAGTCCCAAATCTGCTGCCTGAGCCTTCTCATCATGTTGGATGACAGCAGGCTTACACTACACACAATGGTAAGATGTTTGTTGTTGGAAAATCATGCAGAGGAGTAAGTGTTATATGAGGAGCCTAAATGGAGCCCCACTGTTTCTTTGTGTGCTTTCTCAGCTAACAGCACTGCTGATAGACAGCACTATTAAGCAGTCATTAGCACCATGGCTGAAAGCTTGGCTTCTGCTGATAATAACAGGCAATTCAGTTTTTTGAGGCTGTGTAAGAAAGAGGGCACCTAAATGAGAATAATGAGGTCATTCTATGACATGCCTGAGGATATGAAACCATGGGTAACTTTTTAGCCCGCTTGAGATGTGAATACATTACATTCAACTATGACAATTATTTCTAGCCTTCAAAAACAAAGCATCTTCCATTAAGTCCCACCATACAACACAGCAGATACAATAATCAAAACACCAATGCCCCCAATAAAGCACAACCTTCAAAATAATTCTGTGTAAGACAATCAAAAAGAAAACATATGTATGGACAGATAATGTGAAGTACAGCAAGGGCTTGAGATAGTGTCAGGAAAACAGCAAAATGTAATAGCAAAGTTTAAAAGGGTTCTATGATAAAAAGATTGCTTCCAATTTTGCACAATGTTTTCTTTCAGTGAATGAGATGCATGGACTATTTTGGCTTTGAAAAGATGAACAAACTGAAATTTAATTTCAGACCTGCAGCTTGCTTGGAGCAATTCTGTTTCTCTTAAAACAGGCTCACTTTCTGTTGCAAACGGGCCTACCATTTCACAGCAGGTTTTGCACCACAGGGCTATTTCAAGATTCTTTATGTGATTGAGCAGTCTGGGTTTGAGCGGGACTATGCTGTAGCTGTCTATTAGGCAGGACATTGTTCTGCTTCCTACCTGTATTACCCCACAGGTTGTATTAGCCTATTACCTGCCTAGGTCTATGGATTAATATGGTTCAGTTTATTGGTCAGATTTGCTGTTTAACACTCAAAATTTACAACAGCAGTAGGAAAAGTCTTCCTTTTTTTTTCTGGTTGCTTTCCAAGGTTGCTTCTTACGTTTCTGATTACAGAGGGGGTGCTCTGGGAATGTTCCTGGGCATGCAAGAGTGTTACAACTTTCAGGCTGTGCTACTGAACAAAAGAAGCCTGCTGGCCCTTAGCTCTTTCTTCTGGGAAACTCAGTAACCTTTGCTAGAGGAGATGTTTGTGTGCCTAGTTTAGCTTCAATTTTATTGTATTTTCATTTTGAGTTGAGTGGTGTCATATGTGTGTAGTTATGGGAGATCTGTGAAATACCACTTCTTTGTATTTAGCTTCAGCTTCTGCATGTTTGTTTAACGTTAGGGCTTAAATGCACAAGCACAGCTGCTAAGAACTCAGTGCTCAGCTTTAGGAGCTCCTTCCTGCCCTGGGCACCCATAGCAGGTGCGGTTGGTTGAATACCAGGGGGTGTTGCCTGCACTGGGGAGGACCTTTCCTTTCACTGGCTGCTGCAGTGTCACCTTCACACGCCATGGGCCTGCAGAGAGGGGATGGGCACAGGGTCCTTTCCTTGGAAACCGCTGAAAACTTACTTGTAGGGGCTTCAAGGAAAGGGGAGTGGTTGTGAGAGCAAGGGCAGGTAAAAACATTTTGCTCTCGGAGACCTCTGCTTACTGGCAGGTGGTTTCTCTTTGTGCCCATACATGAGTATACCCTAGAGGGAAATGAACTGGCAAGTTTGCTTCTGTTCCAGTTTCTCTCCTTTTGATTTCCATTTTCTTTGTATTCTTGATTTTTCACAAAGGATTAACTCGGCAGTTCCATTTAGACTAGAAGCAAAGCTTTCATTCAAATTATTGAGGGACTTTACAGGCTGTGTTAAACTTTTTTACTTCATATAGCCCTCAAGCTTATTAAAGTTGTTTTTTTGATTAAAGATTAATGAGTGATTGCTCTTTTTTAGTGGATACCTTTAAGATAAAGCCTCTTCAGTATTGTAACTGGGAGTAAGATGCACATGTCCTACCTGAAAGGTGATTACACATAGTGTTTGTTTTATAATCCTGGTGCTTCATTAGATGCTTGCTGGTTACAAATTATCTATCAGCTCAAACATAACTGTTAATTCTGATTACCTCTAATCTTGAATCACTAACAATTCACCCTGAATTCGAACAAAAGACTATCCCAGAAGAACAGGAAGGTAGAAAAAGGGACTGTGTCATGGTATCTTTCTGGTACATAAAATAAAGCCTTTTAAAATATGCCATAGATTTTTAAATACATTGGTAGGTCATTAGCAGAAAGGATAAAATGAAAAAAATGGGCAGAAACAGGCCCTGAGAGCTGCACCTGGAAGATTTTGACTCCTATTTATCATAGTCATGATTTATACCTTGGGCAGGCTTTTTTCAAAGCTGGAAAAGTGGTTCTGCTGTTTATTAAATTAATTGCATAAGCCATGATATTTAAATATAACATGTATTCATTAAAGACTGTAAAATCTGTGAAGTTCTATTAAAAGCCAGCAGCTAATACAGACTGTCATTGCAGGAGGCAGGTCTGGCTTTCCAACATCAAGCAGTGGCTTAAGCTCTACTTGTATTTCAGACATATTTCTTCATTATGCACTGGATTAATCTGCTTCTGTATTTGGCTAGGAGGAGTAAGAGACGACTCTCTGGGAGAGATTTCCCACTACTTTAACGCTGTTCCTTTATGTACTGAACCTTTAGATTTCTACAGCATGTCCTGTCATATTCATTGTGTGTTTCTAGAGCCCAAGCAGTCAAAATTAGGTCACACAGGAACATTAGATCTTAATATTTTAGGTCTCAATCTTAGTTATTTTTTTTTTTCTAATCCTTACATTTACAGGGAGAATTAAAGCTGTACAGAAAGACCCCAATGCTGAATAAATGCTAACTAAAAAGAATTCAGATTGTACTGTTGTCCATCTCACAATTTTTGGGTCAAATATGGGTATTTTAAACCATTTAAGTTTTTGTCATCATGAGATCAGCAAGAAAGTGCTATTATCAGAACCTAATCTGCAGAATCTTAAACTCCTTTTAAACTCTTTCATTGAATGATTTTATTTGGCAGAGCAAAGTAATTGTCTCAAGTACAAAAATGCTATTGAGAAGAAAATCAAGCTGGTCTGGAATCTGCAAACTTAAGAATTATTCTCATCTGGATTTCATTATATCTGAATCATCTTAATTTTTAAATGCCTACGTAATTTGGATCACAACGATTCTGAAGTTCTGTAATGGGCAAGAGTTCTCATGAAAATATCCTAATGCCAATTCATTACCATGTTATGACACTGCTGTCCATGAGAGGTAATTATGACAAGATTATCTACCAATCATGAGGGTTGCTTTGTTAAGCTATGACTTTTTCCATTGATTTTAATAGAACAGATTTGCCTTTCTAGAAGAATATTTTTGAAAAGGAATTAGGTGTCCAATAATAACCAGTGTGTTTTTTTTCTCCTCTAGTGTTCATAATGGCTTCTGGGCTTTTGGTTTACCCTTTTGGTTTCAACTCTGCTACTGTGAAGAGATTCTGTGAGAATTCAGACATCTACTATGCAGGAGACTGCCAGATTGGATGGGGGTATATGCTGGCAATTGTTGGGGTCATGTTGTCTGTCTTTTTACCATTCTTTGCAAAATATGCACCAAAAGAGCACATATCTCCAACTCCAATACCTACTATTTTATAGTATTTTATTACTGTTTAAGAACAGAACATTCCTGTCTACAGGCAATGGGCAGAAATTCTTATAGCACTTCCATTTAGCTGTATTGCTAAAGAGAAAAAAGGAGATGGGGAAGAGAAGGTCAGAATCACAAAGACCAAAAGTGCATTGATAGTCTTCCGTAAGTATGAGCAGCGAACACTCTGGAATTGAAGATTAATCAGCAGCTTTTATACTGCTCTAAACATACAGTGGCATAATGCCTTAGACAAAACCAATCTGTTTATCCTCAAAACATCTGTCTACCTCCCAGTTTCTTTTGTGTCTCAAACTTGTAAGTCTTTTAAAAGTTTCAGTTCACTTTTTATATATTATTGTCAAAACTTTTATGAACCCAGTAATTTTAAAGTCAGTAATGATATTTTGTTACAATTATTTTGATTAGTGAAAAAGCACCTGCTAGGAGCCACGGCCTAAAATTAAGCTGAATATCTAAAAGGAATTGTATACAAGAAAAAGATTTCTTTTTAATCTATGTATATTACTAGAACCTGCATATTGCAAGTTGTCAGCACACTTTTTAATACTTATCTAATATTCAAGATATAGTCATCTTCATGAAGACCTGCATAAAATTTAATTACATTTTTTCAGAGAGAGATATCTGACTACTTCCAAAGGCTTCATGATGGTTTAATAGTTTAACAATAGGGAAAAAGAATTTGTTTTCTGTATTTCTTAAATTATCATTTAGGTGAACTTTACAAAATTATTTGAACTATTGTAACTGAAGATTTGGGGTTTTGTTGTATGCTTCTTAAGGCTGAAAAGAAAAATCTGTTTATGAAAATGCCCGACGGCCCTTATGTGTAATGAAAATACAAGCCAGAATGAACTAGATTCTAATATTTCCATTTCTATTAAGAGCCCACTATTGTAAAAAACAACCCCAAAAGTGAAATGCTACTGAACATGATTAATAAGAATCTCATGCTGTGTCAGAATCTGTAAATGGCCATATTTCATGAGTTTGTATGTGAATTTTGTGAAGTTTGATTTTCACAATAGCACTGAATTCATTACTATCAAGCACTGAAATAAGTGCACTTGATTGCCTTAAGCAAAAGAAACATTGGGTTCTAATCTCACCCCACTGTTAGGTTTTTCATTTAAATTAAAATCGAATTCTAGTTCTATGTTCATTATTTTCTATTATTTATTTTTTAAAAAAAGAAATAATCACATAGATTATATTTAATTCAGAGCTGTACGTCTTAGTTTTGTATTTTGGCACAAACCAAGTGATCAAATTTATTATTCTTCACTTAGCTGAGTCCAACTGATTCCTGAATTTATTTTTTTTCTGAATGAAAAGGGTACATGAAGGGACAGACAGAGACACGTTGAGGATGTGTAAGAAAACTCGAACAGAACAATCACTGTGTTTTAATAAATGTCAAAGACTTCTGCAGCCTTGTTTACATTCCTCACCCTTCTAAACTTCAATGGAACATTGCATTGTTTTCCAAAGCAATTGTCTGTTGTTATACTTGTACGCACTCTAAAAGCAAATCCTGTATGTAAAAGTAACAAGTTCCAATATTCATCTTTGAAAGCGAGATTTCAGTGTGGAATTAAGTACACTGAGAGAGAGAGCACAAGCTATGTGGGTTTGCTTACAGTGACTAAGGAATTAGATCTTCCACATAGTTAACAAAATAGGTTGAAGGAATGCCACTAAAGTAAGAATAAATTTCAGTCACTTCTGTATAGTAGTGTACTTTTCAGTAATGTCATTTTTTTTTAATGAATGGCTGAAATTGATAATGTTCATAAAAGAGTCAGAAAAGTGATGAATAACAAACAACATGTAAAGAGAAAATAATCATCGTGAAGTAGAGACAGAGATGCAGGCTTTTCTTTCCTAACCAACCTGTGCCTTTACTGTAGGACCATTATACAAGACAGGATCAATATGGTTAAAAAAACCCAACAATCAACCAACAACTGGAAAATGTTGAATGATGTGTATAAACTGTATTATGTAGGGGGTTTCTGTTTTGTGTAATGTTTACGACTGTTCACTTACTGTTTCACTAGAAAAAGTGATTTGTTAGTGTAAAGTAGAAAATTTTTCTGCAAAGATGTAAACACAGAAAGTAAAATTATTTTAGATTTTTATTAACAGCCATTAACATATCTAACAGACCCAGATGACCTATTCCTGTCGTATCTTTCACATGTGCAGAACTGGACCATCAATCAGACAACTGAAATCAGTAGGACTGCATCACTGATGCCACGCACAGATGCTCACAGGACTGCTCCCATAGCTGCAGCTTCCTTTGTAGTTTTAAATTACTGTTACAGTGGCGTCTTACAATTTACAACACTGCTGTACCAAATCCTTTACTTCTTAAAACTCAACTTCTTCTGTTGTGAACATTGTTCAGCTTTACATCCTTTTATAAGTTAAGCTAATGCTTCCATTTGGAACTTTATTTTATAATATATAAAGGAAATCAAATATATGTATATGACCTCTATAACTGGATAGACAAAACTCCCCTTGAAACACCCACACTCAGAACCAGCTTAGCACAGAAGGAAGAGATGATAATACAAGTGATTCTTAAGCAGTTAGTAAAGCGCATACTTTAAATCCTCAACTGGAACCTTGAGGGGGGTGTTGCTAACCACACATGCTAACACTGACAGATCACTTTTTTAAATAAAGACTGTCTGCGTGTTAAACTGTGTAAAGGCGTTTTTCTGTTAGAAGTCAAATGGTTTACTGGACCAGGTTCAAGTTTTATTCTAAATACATAATTTTTTAAGTGTAACTAAAGGCTGTATTTTCCATGAATGTGTTTCTGCGTTGACTAGCTGGCTCCTTTTTAGAATATTAACTGTTTTCTGTATTTGACTTGTTGGATACAATATTTCAATTATTTTAATTGTGAAATTTCCAACTGCCAACACTGTATAATAAAATAAATTTAAAAAAATATCACACTGTTCAGTGTTTTCTTGACAACTCTTTTGTTTTACAATTCCCAATAGATCTGGTACAAAGCTTTTGAAGTAAGGGAACTAGCTAAGGGAAAAGGAAAAAGAAACAGCAGGAATAATCTATGAAAGTCAATGTTTGAAGGCAAAGACACATAAACATGCATATGGACTATCCCTAATGAAAGATGTTGCTATGGCAAAAGTAAGGAAGTTCTGTGTTCAAATAATTATTTCTCCCCAACTTCCTCAGAGTCCTTGGGCAATCTTCCTACAGCTTCAGGGTCTGCTGCTGTTTTATACAGGTGTTATACTGATTATTTATTTAAGAAAACCCACAAATCAGATAACGTATCAGCAGGAACCATATGAATACCTAATATATACAGCTGCATCCTGTGAAGTCTTTCTGTATTATCTATTTATTTCTAGAAAAGCTTTTACACATTTCCTTGTAAGCCAACAAAGGAAAGGGAATCTGTTAGCTGGAACTGAAGTGGAATAAAGACTACCTTCTTACTTCCTACCAAAAAGCAGCTTTAATGCAACATGCAGAGTCAAAGAAAACCTTGCGAAGAAGAATATAGTCAACATCTTGAAACAGATATTGAAGGAATTTCTAAATATTGGAGGAAATGAAAAGCAATGACAATCTGAAGTAGGATTGATGATCTTTTTCAAAGCCACTTGCACTACTGCGAAGCTTAAACATTTTAATTCCAAATTTCTCCAGTAAAATCTAATCTACTAGCTAACAAACCCCTGTTATTGCATATTTAACTGGGAAAGATAAGCTATAAAATGTAGTAGTGAAAACAAAACACTGTTACTAATCTTTTTGTTTGTAACTGTTACTAACATTTGTTCGATAACACAGTATAGTGCTATTTAGAATTACTGAATCAGATTTTCAGTATTAGTGTTGGCAAATGCTTTAGGATATCCAGCTTTTACTGGTAATCATTACTGAAAATTGGTTCCGGACAACCCTTCCGACTTCTAAATTTCATTCACTGTTTTGACATATGTTGTCATCTCAACATCTGCAATTTTAACAAATTCCTGGAAAGTGTTTTGTTCTTGAATAGTTGCTGGTCTTACAGAGACACACTTTAAAATGTTCTTTTTTCCGTCATAGTTCCCCATGCACCTGTGCACGTGGCCTCTAATTAGTCTTGGAAGCTCCCGGTCCTTCATCGAAAGCATAATAAACAAATTAAAAAATAATATCACCTAACAGAAAAGCTTTCAAAATGTCTGAAGTCTACATCACAAATTGAATTCAGATCAGAATTTTGTTATCAACTGAAGCTGAACTGAAAGTCCTACTTTTTTTGCCAAAACAAAAGTCTGAGGATGCCGGAATAGTTACTACATTATTGCTCTAAATCAGGCTGGGACAAGATGGTATAAGCATCCAGCTTCCCTGTTACATAGTAATTTTCTGTTTTATCAGAACAACCTATTATTAGCCTCATAAATTACAGCTAGTGGTGTCTGTTACATAGAGACACAGAATACTTACAATTTCATAAAATACACAAGGCAGACTCTCCTTTCCATCCCTCAAAAGGAAATTCTTAGCCCCATATGTTCCAGGTGTGACTGCAGAATCCAGGGTGCCTGCAGTATGAATCAAAAGATAAATCACAATGCAAACATCAGAGCGGTACTAATATAATACACAAAGATACCATGACAGCATCTACACACTAAAGCACTAAGAGATAGAAAGTCAGCATCAGCTTTTTGGGAGAACTTGTGCTGACAGCTGTGGAAGTTCCAATATTATTATGTGCTTTACACAGTCTTTCAGCAGTACAGTTGCATGTGTCTCTGTAAACTGCATGACTAAATGTGGTTTTCAAAACTGTCACTGTGAACAGGTTATTCCCTCCTTAGGCACACAATTCTCTAAGGTTTTCATATACAAATCAACTTTAAATATTTGCAACCTGGTCAAAATGATAGTTTTTTTGGATGCCATTACATTGCATATTACTTTGATTTAGTCATTCCAATCTTTCGTCATGTTCATTTCTCAGGTAACATCAATTAAAACCAAAATGAAACACACTGAAAGCCATCTGTGTTTAAAAGTGCTCCAGACTAGATCAATTGTATTAAAAACTACTGTAAAACTGTACCTCTGTACAGAAGGTTCCTATTAAATAGGAAAAATTATGGTAGCACATCCTAAAAACAAAGAAAGAAAATGAACAGGACAGAAAGCTTAAATGTTGGGGAATGACCATATTATTATTTTTGTACCTATTTTAGCCACCTTTGATAGCTGAATGGATGTCCCAGCAGGACAATCAGAATGCTCAGGCCAGTATTCATGCATTTGAGTATTTCACCTATTGTTTCTAAGGCTCTTAAATTTTCTCTTGGCTATTGTCATACCATTATTATCAGTTATAGCACAATCTTCCATACTTACCTAAAACTTCAAATAGCAGTGGTGTTTTATAAGCATATTGACTCCAGTGCCTCATACTTTCAATGACTGCAGATATGATACGCAAAGAATTCTTTTTTTCTTTAATTTTTAATTGAGATGATGAAAATTCCTTTCAGAGGAACATGAAAACTCAGGTCAGAGATAAACACTCACGCAATTTTAAAAGACACGGACATTTAGATATTACATTAAAAATCCAGTATTTACATTAAAATTAGTCTACAAACAACTCCCTGTCAATTTATATGATCCCACTGAGGACTGTAGGTCACTATAGTATGAAAATCTCAATTCTGTTTTCAGAAACGTAAGGGTTTTCTAAGGCAGCTAGGGCTGATGAAAGCCTCATCTTCCCCCAGTTTCCATTTTTTTACTTTCTTTCTTCATTTTATTTTCCTATTAACTCTCTCCATAAGTTTACCTGACATTTGTCTTCTGGAACACAGTCAAATTTGTTTTCATTTATTTTATTTTGCTGGATATTGTAGGTAAATTTATATGCCAGACTATAATCCTGCAGACTTCTTGAAACAGTGGTAGGTTTCATTGGCCATTGACCTTTAGATGTTGATGTTTGGCTGGTTTCTGTTGTTTTCAGAAGTTGGGATGAATTACGATTATTAGGGGGTTTTTGCTGCTGAACGGTTTTCACACTATATGAAAGGCTGTCAAACTTTCGAATAATTCCACTCTCAGGTCTTGAATCTTTCATGTTACTTAAAGGAGCATACTCATTTCTATTCCAAACTTTAGCACTGGGACTCTTCTCTTCTGCCCTGCAGCACAACATAAGGTAGTTCAGTATCACAGTATCTATTCCAAATACTCAGATGCGTAATTAAAGTCTGTTAAAACAACCTACATATTGTTGGTTTAGCTTCAGAAACATCTGTTAAATATTCAGACTCAAAGCACTAGAGGATATACTAAAATTTACCCATATACAGGGCAGCGATCACACCTGTGCTTAAATCCAGCTGAATTCAATAGGCCTGAAAAGCTTGCTCAGTTGTTGTCCCACCCTCTATAAGGGATCTTTCTGACCTAAGATTCACTACTTGTCCGTAACTCTCAAAATAAGAAAGCTTTCTCCCGAGAGTGATATTTCCAAATTTTTCTGTAACCATCAATGAAGAAACCATTTTAAAACAAACTCTAGTCCTGGCCTTATTATTTCTAACACACTTTTTTATAAAGGCACTCTGAAGTTTCTTCCACCTCCATTCCATCTTGCCTTTGAAGGCACTTGTTTCTAACATTCATTTTCTTTTTGCCACTGGAAAGGAACAGGAGGAAACAAAGAGAAAAAAAGGACAATTATAACATTGCTGAAAGTTCCAGCCAGCTCTAAGCATCTGAATTTGTAAGCTTTTCCTAGGTTTGTAAAAGCACAGTGTTCAAAATCATATCCAATTTTGATTAAATGTTTTGATATAAAATTGCCCTAACATACGCTGATAGAAACTTATTTGAATCTATTGGTAAAATTGGAAAGTGGGCAAAACTTTAAGGAAAGGGGAATCTCAAAAAAAAAATACATCTAAGACCAGCAAAATTCAATCAACTTGTATGGTAAGACTGAATTTTAGGCCTGACAACAAGGCTAGATATTAGGTCTAATTAGCAGACCTCATTAGGTACACTGGAAAGATACTGGATTGCTGTGGGTTTTTGCTTGTAGGTACAATGTAATTATTTAGGACTACAGTGATGATCTGAGAATTGAAAGGGTCTCTGAATGCTACAATAATGTGGAAAAATCTAAGATCTATTTTCACATGAGAAAATTTTTGTTAAGGAAGGAGAATAAAAATGCAAGATGCCACCAACCTGCAGGCATACAAGTTTTTTTCCAGTATTTGCTAAATAAGACTTTGATGCATTTGGTGGTTTCATAAGGGAAGGAGCCATCGCATGTTCTGTTTGGCTTTCAAAGATAGGTTTAAAGTATCAGTAACACAGTAGCAGCTTTATTGTAAGAGACACATGGATGATAGTTTTTGAAACAATTAGTACCCAAATAAAAATTAACACACAACAAATAACATGATTTTACGTACCCACTGTTTGCTGCTTTCTGTAATTCAGCCTCCTCTGGGTTTGCAGATCCCCAGCCTAATTATGAAAAGGCAAAGGACTGAATACGGATAAAAACTGAGAAGATTGGAAAAGTAACATGTCTACTTAGGGCTCCTACTCTTCATCTGCTTAAGGTTCCACAGATTGTCTCACAAAGGAAGGGGAAAAAAAAAGGGTGAGAGAATGTGATCCTTTGATATCTGTAATTATAAGGCAATTTCTAACAAGTAGGTTGCTTCTCCAGACAATGGTTAAGTTACAGACATTAGACTTATTAGCACAGACTCCTACTTTATTATAAATAAACTTGTTTATTTTATTATATACAAAACATAATTAAAGTACTAAAGGCAGAATTCTGCATCATTCTTCCCAAGCACAATTTGAAGAACAAGTTCTCTTCTGTATTACAAGAAAGACATCTTATAAATGTTTCTTCCTGTAACACAGGACTTGAATGTTGATTGAAATCAACTGAAAACAAAAGGTCAGAGTTTCAAGAGACTCTATTTAAATGCCAGTGCTACTTCATTCTCTAACAGACAAAGAGTCAAACTCCCTCTAGGCATAAAGTATAAAAAGCTCAATTGTATAGAGGAGAAAGAAATTTCCTCGAGGACATTTTTTACATAATGAACTTTTCAGAGATAAACATAATGGATGCATATAGTTCTTGATAAAGACAATGTCTAATTTAATAAAATACAATCATAAAGTTAAGGTCTATTTGGATGTAGAGCCAATTAGAAAAGGAAAAGAAGATCTTATTTACCATATGATGTGGGAGAAAAGTCATAAGTACAAGTTCCAGAACTGGTTCCTGTCTCATTTTTAAGTGGATTTGAAGTCAGGGGCTGCCTATTTCGTTTTTTCTGATTGAACAGAGGTACAGGCAGATAACCTAAAATTAAAATTCAAATACTAAGATACCAATAGCAAAAGGAGACACAATCTACATTTAAAAATACATAAATAAAATTACTTATTTTAAATCCCCCATAGGAATTAATTTCATTAACACATAACAGACCAGCCACTGCCTCACAGAATTTATATTCCCAACCTTCTGTCCTGCAAATAATCCCATGAACAGAACATTTCCCTCTGATCAGTGCTCTCACCCCATTCAGCATCTTGCCCTGGGCTGCAATAAAACAGATAAGCCATGCAAGTCCGCTTGGGCAGTCAGACTCTAGGGCTGAATACTGTATAGTCTCAATGAGTATTGCATGTGTGCGTAACACACACACACACATATATATATAAGCCTAATGAGGCATGAATGGTAAAGCACAAAAGCATGCTTGGTACCTGCTGTGCTACGAGTCGGAGTGTCAGCTAGGCTCCTTTTCATTTTTTTTCTCTGTCTTAACAGGCAACAGTGTATTGATTCTTCCAAATTTGCTGTATGGAAGTTAGAGAAGCAAAGTAAACTAATTCATGTTGTAATACCCAGATTTTACATGGTTTGATGTCAGTTTCTTTTAACTCACTGTACACCCAGTTGTACTGGATTTAGAAGATCCAGGGGTACACAAATAACATGCAATATGCTCTTCACAGATTAAGGGCCCAAATGATTATGTTTCTGAAGTCAAAGTTGCATTCTGTCCTTTAAATGCTGTAAAAATACTGAATTCACTTCTGAATTTAGATGTGCATATACATTCAAATACAAGGAATGCTTTTTAACTCCTGAAAAGAGAACACTAATAGAAAATGCATACTTCTACCTTGCTGCAAAGTGTGACAGCAAGGTATATGGCTTTGGTATACGGAATAAAAGCTGATTTAAGTATTCTGTGAAAAATTAGTGTCACACTTCAATAAACCTCTTTTCTGTACTTTATGGTACAGACCTAAAACCTTGAGTCAATTTTGTTACATACAAAATGCTTCACAAGTCAAAAAACATGATTATCAGCCAAATGTTATAGCATACTAGAGGTAGTTTGAAGTATTTGTTATCTGATTAATCTATTTCTATAGTAAATGTCTATGTATTACTCTGTACATCAAGGACACTACACAGGCTGTTGGGTAGCATTAGTTACTATTCTATCAAAGTTAGTTACTGGCTTATATTGCCTCTAGCATCATATGAATAACACCTCATACTTGTGTGTATAAATAAGACATCATTTCTACATTTATTCTGATCTGGCAGTTAATCATATGCAGCTGTTAAAGATGTTGATAAGAATGAAGCACAATTATCTGCTACAGCTAGACTAATGGAGCAATTTACACTTCTTTTCCTGTTAGGGTTTGGAAATGCACTGTATTCGTAATTGACTTATGTCAATTGCATGTGTGACAACATCAGAGCAGCCTCTACTTAACTATTTGAACTCTATTGCTGGCACTATGCAGCCTAATGGCCACCAGCAAGTGACACGCTTGTAAAACAAAGCCCCATAAACTTGACCTTTCATCTTATGAAGCCAGATATGGTGTTGCACAGGATTTTAGACTGCATCACTTTGCCTTCTGTCCTCTCTTCAAGAGAAGCAGCCAAAGACCCAGAGCTAGAGCTGTAGAAAATAGTTACCTCAGGATGGAGAGCAGGGTGAGCGCCCGCAGCAGCACCAGGGTAAAGGAGTCTGAACACCCGCTGCAGCCCGAAGGATGCGGCTGAGGTGAAGCCCGCCAAAAATAACGGACGAGACAACCCCGTCCTCGCGCCTGAGTGAGAGAAGGGCGGGAAGGCGCTGACAGACCGCGCTCCGCTTTGATGATGCTGCCGGTGAGGGTCTGCCCGCCCGGCCCCAGGCAGGGAGAGAGCAGCAGGAAGGGTTAAATGGGTCCTCTGCGGGGTTTAATTATCTCCGTGCCCCTGGGACTGGCCCAGGTGGTGCCAGGTTCAGCACGTGGAGATCCCGGGGCAGGAGCTGAATACCCACATCTGTGTGAACACAAACAAGGAGATGAATAAAGCTCCTTGCATTCCTCGCTGTTCCGGGTTTTACTCATGGCTGGTTTTCAAACGTTACTGTTTCAAAAGTTACTGTTTTCAACAGTAAGTTCTGAGGGGTTCCTGTGTAAAATCTCAGAGCTCAGCAGGGTTAGAGCCCATCGTTTTTATTTCAGTCTGAGGCAGCTTTGGAGAGCCACGTTACACCTCTTAAACTTTGTCAAGAGACTTTGATAGCCAGGCTTCATATATGTTTTATTATTGCATTTGTTTCTCCACTCATGGCACACATTCTAAGCTCTCAGATGCACTACGAGATACTTGGATCTAGTACAGAAAAAGAGCCTCACTTCTTAATAAATTAAATATGATCTTACATAATCTGTCAAAATGTATCAGCAAAGCACAGGAATAAGGGATTGGTCCCAGTGGTTAATTCAGAACAGTGAAACTTTTCAAGTGTCTTCATTTATGCCACAGATTTGTGGGTGCTTGTAATGTTGTGGGAGACCAGGAGTTAAAAACTGTTTAGAAGGGTATAAAAGAAGCCTCCATGGCTTTAGTTCCTAAACTCATGTTTGGAAATACACTGTATCTGTCCTAGGAAATCTCTTCTTAGGAGACAAACTTCTTGCATGTTCAATGAGGTAAGTGCACAGGCAATCTCTGCATTTCACTCAGCATTTTGCAAGGAATTATAACCGCTACAGTACCACCAGCAGTAAAAGCTACACGTACCAGCACTGTGTGTCTGTGTTTTGCCGTTTGCTCTTCAAACTGCTGTGGTGTTTAAACTCTGCAAACCGAGATTCAGAGCGTGAGTCATTTTTTCAGGCAGCCTGTAAATAGCCATTTTGGCACCACCGTTAAAGAGACTGAGGTCAAAGGACAGAACAGACTGTCCAGTGCTGTAAAATGCAACTTTACTGCTTTGTTTAATAGATTACTTACTAAAATTATGTACCTGACAGCTTCTAAGTACAGGAATAACAAAGTTGAGTGTCTAAGTAAACAGCCTCTCTGTATGAGCTTGCTGTAAGGTTCAGCAAATCTGTGTGCATAGGCTGAAACATAGAGGGCAACTTCTGTAAGAAATAATACTCCTGGCAGAACTTGTCTAGGTAAGTCCCATATTTAGCTTTCTGTTCGTAGACCTACCGTCTATCAGCCTGCATTAGAAAGCCTCTCCCAGGCACTAGCCAAATACTCTCTCAGTCACTGGAGTATAATCTTAGTAAAAAGGAATTGTTCAATAAACATTTTTCCTTCCCTTGCAAAGTGGATTTTTTTATATTTGTATCATGTGCCAGATGCTAGTTGCAAATACTTCTGTCACAGCAGCAAAATGCTTATTTTCTGTTATTAAGCCCTCTTACTCTGAATGTTTTGATCCTCACAATGGAAGTTATGGCTGCTCTTTGGCTTGAGTTTCAGAAACCTGTCTGAATGCTTTTGGAACTAGAAGTCCAGTTTTTGACTCAGGTTTGTTTGTTTTTTTTTTTGGGGGGGGTGTGACATGACTATTGTGCCATTGTGGTCTGTATCTGTTTCCTTTTTCATAAGAGTTTGCAGGAGTTAGAAGGGTCGTCACTGGCAGAGTTGTTTCAATGTGTTAGAGGTCTGTGTTAGCAGATTGCAAGATAGAACTAGAGCCAGGAATATTAGGGCAGTCAGTTGTGGATAAATTGCACTTTAATTTCAGCTAGTGTTCCTCTAATCACTGTTCTTCAGATATTATAAAACAAAAAAGGTTATACAAGCAACAACATGCTTTGAGGAACTCAGCTGTTCTTGTTTTTTTAGGTGAAAGTACTTGATGTTTCAGCATTAAGTGCTGATCTAGAGCCAAGATATGATTCTCATTTTACTGGTTTTGCTCTTTAAATAATTCTGCCCTCGCATGCTGTAATGTTTATGTAACTTCAAACATGCATGAGTATACTTGTTACACCTAGTTTGCAATGCAAAAATGTCAGAGATATTTAAGTGCATTATTAAAGTTTACATTAAAAAGGTCTTTTCATACTGTCATTCATACAAGATTTACCTATATATCATATATTAATAGAGATTGCCAGGAGAAGTTAACTTTTGAACTGTGTAACAGTACCATTAACTAAATATGGTAAATGAAGGGGAGGGCTTCTGGAGAGGGAGGAGTGCTGGGTTAGCAACTCCCCGCCTCGCAACAGGAGTCAAAAACTCTTAGAGAAATGTTAATTCACTTTCATTCACATCTGACCTAAACAGGCTTAAAGAATTCGCTATTAAAAAAAAAGGTGTGGTTTTGGGTTGTTTTTCTTTCTTTTGAGACAAAAGTTTTACTTTATTTTCTGTTTTGCTTTCAGCACTTCTTAGAGCTGCTGAAAAGCATGACTTCCTCTTCTGTTGTTTGTAAACCTCCGGTAAGACGGGTTGCTATCTTCGGGGGAACTCATGGCAATGAGTTATCAGGGGTATTTCTGGTCAAGCACTGGCAAGAGAATGGAGCTGAGATTCAAAGAACAGGAATGGAAGTGAAACCATTTCTTACCAACCCAAGAGCTGTGAAGAAGTGTATTAGATACATTGACTGTGATCTGAACCGTGTTTTTGACTCTGATAATCTTGGGTAAGAATAGTTGTCCTTTCTGTTGTTTTACTTTTCTGTTCTTTAAAACTGTAAGGAGCTTCCTTTCCAGATTAAAATGTTAACACAAGTTCCACTACTATTTTAACTGTGCAGTCACATAACTGAAATTACTGACCTTTAACCCAAAAAGAACAAATTGTGTGAGTGTTAACAGATTAATTTTAAACTTCTTGCTCGTAGAATGAGTCTAAACCCACATATAGTCTCAAATAAAGCATTTTAAATTAGTGCTGGATTAGTTGTATTTGTGTAAACTTAAGTATTGCTGTTCTGAGTTGCAAAGTCATTATTTCTCACATCTTCTTGTTCAATTCAGCTTTGGAGCTCATTTTCCTGCAAATATAATTGTATTCAGAAAACAGATAAAAGCAATTTAGACATCTGAGTATCTGAAAAAAAGGCATACAAATTGGGGAAGTGTATTTACTTTCAGTTATATACAGTGAAAGATAGCTAAAAACTTGCAGTCAACCAAGTTAGAAATTATATATTCTATGTCAAAATGATAGCCAAAAAGTCGCAATATTTTAACTGACTCATTATTTTAGAAGAAATTAAATCTATAATTATGTAAGATAGTAATTGATTTTACATTTATAATGGGATTTTATGTTTCTCAGCTTTTGAGACATCTATTCCATAGGTGTACTTTGCTATATAAAAATCCTTATGCTTGGTATAGTTACATGCTAAACAGGTAATCACCTTTCAGAAAGGTCTTACTGGTAAAGGTGAATATTACTGAAAGAAACATATATCACTTACTTTGTAAGCACGGTTATTCTTACTCTGCATGTCTTTTCATCTAGCTTTTCATCTTAGAGTTTTGTTGTTACTATATAGAAGATAAACAGACTTTTTAACATAAAGAGTTAACATGTAAGAGTTGAGGTCATTCTTTTAACTGCTTACTTAGGACAAACATATTTATATAAAAAATGAGCTTGTTTGTTTTCAGCTGCTTTGAACATAGAACACTTGAAAAAACAGCAGATTAAGACATCTGCAGGTTGTCCTCATTGAATCATATGAAGTTGCCCAGTCCTATTACAACACTATTAACTGTTTGGAATACCTTCACCTGATCCTTTTAAGTGTAGACTCTTCAAGATTGCAAATGGTTTTACAAAATAAGAAAAAGGAGAGTGAAATCCTGATACTACTGATAGCAATGGTGGAAGTCCTATTGAGTTTGATAAGAAGTATTAATTTAACAGTCTTTTATGAAGAAACCTTGAATTTCAAAGACAGAACTAAAGAATATAAAGGTAGATTATGTGATATATAGAATCATAAAAATACAAAAAGGAGCTCAAGTGGCTTATGTAAAAAAATTGTATCGTACATCAGTTTCCTCTAAAGCCCTTATACAGACAAGAAGCAGATCCCAGAGCTTTCCTTAGGCAAAGGCCATGTTTTTGAAGTGTAGTGCAGACATAATCAGCTGAGATGACACTTATTAAAACTAGAGGAATAGATTTGAAGTAGCAAAATCGTCTATGACTTTTGAGGGTCAGGAGGGCTCAAAACAATACACTGTAAAAGTCTGATCAGAATATGAGAAGACAAGAAATGAAATTACAAAAGACCTTGTGAGTGATGTCCAGGCAAAAGGGCAGGGACTGTTACCAGAATACCATCTGCAGTAGGAGCTGCATCCAGTCATGGAAGTGATTTAAGTTGTTGATAAGTTTTGAATTATTTTGATGCATAGGGGGAAATTTTTAAATGTAAATAAGTGAGAAGAATATAGGCTCCAGCTAAAATCAGATTAAAAAATCTTTTTATCCTTCTGCACAAGGTACGGAAAAGTAAGACCTGTTTAAAAATCATACTTGCTTTTTTCAAGCACAAAGTTTTAACAGTTTGCTAACAAAATCGGTGATTTCAACTCCAGTCAGTTAATGGAATTAAAGAAAGGGTATGCATATGCTGTTGACTGTAAAGCCATGGAATGAGTTTACTAATTTCTTTGTACTGATATTAACAGCAGGCCAGTGGTGGAAGATATTCCATATGAAGTG